TTTTATTTCAAGTGGCATTAAAAAGTCTTAAAAAGTCTTGAATTTAACTTGCCTTCTGCTGTAGGAACCCTGCTAACTAATACACCGATACAGAATAAAGATCAGCTTTTTTTCTGATCAGAGGAGCAGTGATGCCCACTATCACACACACAGGGATTTTACACACCTCACACATGAAGCGAGCGCATTTCCCCAAACACCCTGCATTTCCCGCATGTGGCTTTCTTGGAGACTGATGTTGCTGCAGCAATGGCTGCAGGGATGTGCTGACAGGCCTGTGGAACCTGTTGTGGACTGCTCCTCAGAGCCTGATGGGTCAGCAGCTGCTGATCTAGTCTGCCGCACAGCTTCCTGTTCAACAGGTAGCTGTTTATCACAGCAACAAGTCACAAAGTGATGCAAACCTGTCAGAAACAACTTCCTGCTCTTTCTACATGAGGAAAAAGATCCAATCAGCTGGTTAAAAAAAATCAAACTTCCCCCATGAAGCAGTTGTAGTCCTTCACAGATAACTCCTTCCTCTCCGCCTCAGGGAGTAGGAGGTCAAATCTTCTTGTTCCTCAACATCATCAACACTGCACGTGGAAAAATGTTACACAATTTTTTAGATGCTTTTTATATCAAGAATATCATATAGTGATTCAGAATATAATAACAGTGGATAATGATGAAGTGTAACAGGTTTAGCATCGTTTTTATGGATTCTATTTTATTTTGAAAAGCTATGGAAGAAAAACTGTCTCATTGGAATCTGCCTTTTTTTTAACACCGGATTTTAAACACAGAATTTTTTTAGACATTGAATTCCTTACACTCAATTTTTATCTGGTAAAAATTCACCTGAAAAAAATTCAGCTGCAAAAATTCAGCCGCAAAAGTGTCGACCTTTTGGTGAACTCAAGTTAAAGCAATCTACGCTCGATAGAGTCGAGCCGCTTCTAGCCAATGAAATTAGCTCATTTGGTCACGTGACACAACGGCTGGGCTCAGCGCTGTTCCAGGCTGAAAGAGGAATTTTACTAACAGACAGCTATTATAGTTATTCCTCTTATCAGACTGGGTGAAACAACTGAGCCGATCACAGCTAGTACGGCACCCTTGTCTGCCAAAGCTCTTGGTTTGATCCGAAAGAAGCGGCCGGCGGCAAACCGCTGTGATCGGCTCAGCTGTTTCACCCAGTCTGATAAGAGGAAAAACTCTAATAGCTGTCTGTTAGTAGCTAACTGACGTTTTGTAATTCTGTTTAACAAAAAAAATTCCTCATTCAGCCGGGAACAGCGCTGAGCCCAGCCATTGTGTCACATGACCAAATGAGCTAATTTCATTGGCTAGAAGCTGCTTGACTCTATCGAGTGTAGATTGCTTTGGCTTGAGTTCACCAAAAGGTCAACACATTTGCGGCTGAATTTTTTGCAGCAGAATTTTTTTCTGGTGGATTTTTACCAGATAAAAATTGAGTGTAAGGGATTCAATGTCTAAAAAAATTGAGTGTTTAAAATTCGGTGTTAAAAAAAAGGCAGATTCCAACGAGACTATTTTTCTTCCATAAAAAACGTTCCCTGGATGAGGATTTTCATCACTATTGCTATATGTTTCAGTGTATATATCCACCATGTTGGCTAGCTTATCTCCCGGGATGACATCACACTTACGGCTTTGGTATGGACAAGAAAAAGTAACAGAACCAGAAGAGGGTTTTTCCTAAAAAAAAAAAAAACAACAAAAAAAAAACTTTATTTTTAATCATTAGTATTTGAATATCGCAAGACTTTAGAATTTACGGTAATATATTACAGTAAAGTACTTTTAATTCAACACTTTATCCCAGCTTTAAATCAAGGGAAATGACACTTATTTCTAGAAACATTGACCTTTCCTTAGATTTCAGGTTTTGCTGCGGGATCAGAGGTTACACTGAAAAAATTCTTGGATTGAGGAGGTTAAAGACACATTTTACCAAAGGAACAAGAAAATCTACATTTAAAATAAGAAAACACAATTGCATCGTCTTATTTCAAGTGTGTTTTGTTTAATTATCTTATTTAAAAGTAAAAATACTCATTCCATTGTTTAACTATCACATTTACCTACTCAAATTAAGGGTAAAGACACTTAATTTAAGACATTTTTACTTATTTGTAGATCTTTTTTCCAGTGTAGAAATCACCAAATCTGAACAGTCTTCGGTGTTGAAGCCGATACTGAGAGAAGATTCAGTTATTTTCAGTCTAAGTTAGATGTTTAAAGGTTTGGATCTCACCGGTTCTGTTTTATTCTGCTGAAAAGCCAAGTTCTTTTTATTATGGAAAAGACTCTAAAATCAAAATCAGGTCAATTTGTTCTTAACAGATTGATCTTTTTCCTTAATTTGAGCGTGTAAGAAAGACAATTCGCCACTGGAATAAGATGATTGTTTAAAATAAAATAAAAAAAACTCCCATTAATTTATTCGAAGTACATAAAATGATCTAATTTTAGGAGTAAACATACAAATTCTTATATGCTTATTTTAAGAAATTTGTTCTTATTTTTACATCAGGTTTTGCAGTGCTTCTGCAAAAACTGGTCTAAAAATACAGCTGCAAAAAGTCTCTTATATCAGCCTGGGTTGGATGTTTGCCGAACTCATAATACAACTTCTTTTCTCCCTGATTTTCAGACATCACTGCATCAACATCCCGGATATTCTTCCCAAGATCCTCCTGGCTGTGAAGTGGAACTCCAGGGATGAGGTTGCACAAGTGAGTTGAGATTCTCCGAAGCGTAAAACAACTTTCTCCTAAGGGAGCGCATCACTTAAACCGTTCCCGCTTTGTTCTTCCAGATGTATTGCCTTCTAAAAGACTGGCCTGCAATTAGGCCAGAGCAAGCCATGGAGTTGCTGGATTGCAACTTCCCCGACCCCATGATCAGAGAGTTTGCCGTGAAGTGCCTTGAGAAATACCTGACGGATGACAAACTCTCGCAGTACCTCATCCAGCTGGTCCAGGTGAGCGCCGCCGATGGAGGAGGGGACGCCTCCTCCGTGTAACCTTCTCAGCGTGGCATGGAGAGCTGAAGTTGTTTTTCACACCGTCTGTGCCCAGGTTCTAAAGTATGAGCAGTATCTCGATAACCCGCTTGCACGCTTCCTGCTGAAAAAGGCATTAACCAATCAGAGGATAGGACATTTCTTCTTCTGGCATTTGAAGTGAGTTAATTAAAAAAGAACAAAAAGGTGTTTTTGTTTTTTTTTTCCTGACGAATCGAGCCGTTGGTTTGTTGAAAGGTTAAGCTATTGTTTGAATGTCACCTTAGCAGTCTGGTGTTTTCTTTATTTTTTATTTTTTTAATGATGTCTTGACAGATTAGCCATTAGCGTACAGCCTGCTAACGCTTACTTCTTTTCTCATGTGTGCGTGAAGATCAGAGATGCACAACAAGACGGTGAGCCAGCGGTTCGGCCTCCTGCTGGAGTCGTACTGCCGGGCGTGCGGCGTGTATCTGAAGCACCTGAGCAGACAGGTGGAAGCCATGGAGAAACTCATCAACCTCACCGACCTGCTCAAACAGGAGAAAAAAGATGAGGCGCAGAAGGTAATCCGACAGCTGCCAGCTGTTTGCTCTGATCCGGGGAGGGCTGCGGGTTTAATCTAGCCCACATCTGGACCGGTCTGCAGACGGATCCGCGCGCTCTGGACGTTTAGCTTTCTGCTTACAGGAGAGCAGACAGTCAGTTAACGGGAGCGACTCTGACTGTAACGTTTGTCAGCATCTTTGGGCGTAAAGAAAAGTCTCTCGTTTGAGGTGCTGAATCAGCCATCATAACAAGATGACTCGTAGTATTTAGACTCTCTGATGTGGTCTGGTAGCTTTTATTTAACAGGGAAAACAATCCTTTATGTTATGGTTACATTTGTTCCAGTTTGGATTTGATCTGTGGATTTAAGCCAAACTATTATGAAGTGAACTTTATTTCATCGTTGTTAAAAAAAAAAAAAGAATTTGTAAATAGAATTGTGACAAAAATGAAGCTTTAAAAACTTTATAATCAGAAGAACTTGGCTGATTTCTCAGATTTTTATTTCAGATTGAAATGTATCTCTCCTATGCTGAAACCAGTCGCTACGCTCATTTTTTTTAATGAATCAAGGTTCTGCCCAGCACATGAAGCCGAAATGCTGAGTTTTAATGAGCCGAGAAAACTGTTTTTAAACACATTTAGCTCTTTATTTGCACCTATAAGTAAGAAAGCTGCTGTAGCAGGTGAACCCCACAGCCTTCAGGCTGTCAGCGACTCACTCTGAGCGCTCAGAGGCAGGAGAGCACGTATGCTGCTGACCCTTCAGCAGAGAGGAAGCTTCGAAGGCAGGGGTGAAGTTAGCGGGTCAAGGAGGATTCCTGAGTGGCCGCTCTGTTAACGCTCTCATAAAAGAATGACTCATACTATTTAGAGACTCTCTGACGTGGTCTGGTAGCTTTTATTTAAAAGGAAAAACAATCCTTTATGTTATGGTTACATTTGTTCCAGTTTGGATTTTATCTGTGAATTTAAGCCAAACTATTATGAAGTGAACTTAATTTCATCGTTGTTAAAACAAAACAAAAAAACTACATATTTTTTAAATAGAATTGTGACAAAAATGAAGGTTTAAAAACTTTATAATCAGACAAAGTTGCCTAATTTCTCAGATTTTTATTTCAGATTTAATTTCATTTTCTAAATGTTTTCATCATTAATTTTTAGATCTTATTTGTTCAAATATTAATATTTTTTCAAATGTCTGTTTTTTTCCCAATATATTTAAATTTAGCAATTATTTTATTTCGTTTTTAAAAAAAAATTAATTATTCAATTTAATTTTGTTTATTTCTATAGCGCCAATTCCCATCACATCATCTCAAGGCACTTTACAATTTAACCAGATCATCCAGTCAAATTGATTCAAAGTTTTCTATCTAAGCAAAACCAGTTGATTGCATCGACTTATTAACTAGAATGCAATCCCTCACACTAAGCTTGTAGCGACAGTGGAGAGGAAAAACTCCCTTTTACCAGGAAGAAACCTCCAGCAGAACCAGGCTCAGTGTGAGCGGCCATCTGCTGAGGCCCACTGGGGTTCAAGGAGACAGAAAAAGACATAGATTCCGATTTTACTTTTACAAATTTCATTGTTTTGAAAATACTTTTTTCAGATTACATTCTCTTCACTTCCGGGGGCGCGCTTTCCTCTGGAGAGGGGAGCAAAGAAGCATTTGTATTGGTCTTCTGACCGTTAGCAACATCAACTTTGTCAAGAGTGAGCTTTTGTATTGGGCTTGAAGTGAAGAGAATGCAATAAAATAAACAATAATAATGCAAAAACAAAAATAGAGTAAACAGATAAGTTAACTGTGCTTAAAACAATAGTGGAACAAATTTCACTCCATACTGTTCTGCTTACGGTTGGTTTTTACTCCCATCCAAACTCAGTACTTGTATCAAAAGCCAAATGTTTCCCAACCAATTAAGCTCTATAAAATGAAGATCTTTTTTATTTCTAGATGTTTTCACTATAGGTGATGTTTTTTTTCTTTTTTGCATGTTTGTAGATTAAAATCTTTCACATCGGTGCAAAAACTGTAATGCTCACTTATAGCCACCAGGGGGCGCATGTTAATAAAAAAAATAACCGTGCAAAGCTGCATGTTGTTTAGAATGGTAGATGTTGCAGATGACTTGGAGCTGTAGTGTTTGCATCTGTGCTGCAGCAGCTCAGCAGCAGGTTATCAGAGGAAATGTCAGTTTACTGTTTTTATCTCTTAAAAGGTTCAAATGAAGTTTCTGGTCGAGCAGATGAAGAGGCCTGACTACATGGATGCACTACAAAGCTTTACCTCTCCGCTGAATCCTGCACATCAGCTGGGAAACCTCCGGTATACCCCCCACCCACCCACAATCATGTTTGAAATGGGAGCTGTTAAGTATTCCTGCATAGTCCTGCCTGCCATGCCTAGAAAGAACTTAGAAAGCTCTGCTGCATGACTCAGCGGAGTAACAGCGACAGTTTGATCCGTCCCAACGAGCACAGATGCAGTGAAGAAGAGCCGACTGTCTGCTAAATTATTATAATTTTTTTTTGCTTCTGTTTCAGCCTGGAGGAATGCAGGATGATGTCATCTGCAAAGCGACCTCTTTGGTTAAACTGGGAAAACCCAGATATGATGTCAGAGCTGCTTTTTCAGAACAATGAAATCATCTTCAAAAACGGAGACGGTGAGTTGTGCCTTCCAAACGCCGCTCCTCTCTGACTCCTCTCAAACGCAGCATCCGGCTGAAGGCTGCAGGGCGTGTCACGGCGCAGACACTCATCTATCCTCCTGCTCTTTACACAGAATTCACAAACGTGTTGTTTTAGATTCGCGCTCTGGTCGCAGCTCATTTCGGCTCGACTTTGACGCCGCTGCTCCACAAAAAGCGCGGCGGAGCTGATCAAAGCAGCTAATATTCACAGTTATTCACCTTGATGCTTCCGCAGATCTGAGGCAGGACATGCTGACGCTGCAGATCATTAGGATAATGGAGAACATCTGGCAGAACCAGGGCCTTGATCTCAGGTAGGCTGCTCACTTCCTCATGACAGCAGGAATGCAGGTGGGCTTTTAGAGTGGAAGCCCCCTCCCCTCTCTGCTCATCTTTTTATAAACTAATCCATCATTTCTGTTCCTTTATATATTTTTTTTTATCTCGCCTTTCCCTCCCAGGATGCTGCCGTACGGCTGCCTGTCTATCGGCGACTGTGTGGGTTTGATCGAAGTGGTGAGGAATTCTCACACTATCATGCAGATCCAGTGCAAAGGAGGCCTGAAGGGGGCGCTGCAGTTCAACAGCCACGCACTGCATCAGTGGCTCAAAGATAAGAACAAGGGAGAAATGTGAGCATTTTCATACAGCTTTTTCAAAAGTATTAACATCCCTCAACATTTTATTTATTCATTGGTGAAATCTGAAGCTATTTTATTGCTTTTTTTAATACGATAGAACAGAAAGTTCCAAAAATCTGAACTGACAACCCCCTAAAAATACATAGAAATTTGAAAAATAAATTTGAATCTTTAATGATTTATTGTATTTTATTATTTAAAGGTATATTTAATATTAGATTTAATACATGTTACATCTACCTACTTCAGGACAAAAATATTTCAGTTAGTTGGTGTTTTTTTTCTTCCTTTATCACAAGAAAACTTTATCTAAACCCTTGTAGCTCCGTTTCTATGGTGGTTCTCATGCAGCCGTCTTCTCAGCTCCCACATCCCCGCGTTTAATCGTCTGATTGGTGCTTTCACCATGACAGACAGTCATATCTACTAATAACATTTTCTATGCAGTTTTTTTTTTTTTTTTTTTTCTGGAGCATGTAAGGTCATTTATGTGATATTTCACTTCACTGTGAGTTGTTTTTACTACAAAAAGCTGCTATGCTTAAACTTCAGGGTTTCCGCGGGTCATTAAAGGAATAGTACACCCAAAACATGATTAGCCTTCATTTTCTACTCACCCCCATGCTGAACAACACTCTGGAGTACTTTTTTGATATC